ATCATGGGACCTCTGGTGAAACTCTTCCAAAACTCGTGGCACTCGGGGAAGGTCCCTGAAGACTGGCAGAGGGCCAATGTTGTGCCCATCTTCAAGAAGAGGAGGAGAGAGAACTTGGGTGACTATAGGCCAATTAACCTAATTTCTATCCCAGGGAAAATCCTGGAAAAATTCATCAAGGAGCCTATGTGCAATACGCTTGCAGGAGATACGATTCTGAATGACAGCCAGCGTGGCTTTATTGCGGGCCGGTCTTGTCTTACCAACCTCATCTCCTTCTACGACCAGGTAACTCACCACCTGGACAAGAGAGAGGTCAAAATTATATACCTAGACTTCCAAAAGGCCTTTGATCTGGTATGCCATGCTCTTCTCAAGGGAAAACTGGAGGATTGCAGGCTTAACTGCTTGACAGTTAGGCTGGGTAGAACCCAAAGCATTCTAATGAATGGATCTGTGTTGTCTTGGTGAGAAGTGGCTAGTGGTATCCCTCAGCGGTCCGTGCTTGGTCCAAGGCTTTTCAACATCTTTATCAATGATTTGGATATGGGGGTGAAGACATCACTGGCCAAGTTTGTGGATGACACCAAGTTATGAGACAGCATGGTCAAGCTTGAAAACAGGCTGCAGATATAGGTGGACCTAGACAGGCTGGCAAATTGGGTAGGTCGGAACCAGATGAAGTTCAAAACTGAGAAGTGTAAAGTGCTCCATTTGGGGATGAACAATCCCCAATGTACTTACAGGCTCAGTGGTGCCAAACTGACTAGCACCATGACTGAAAGGGACCTAGGGGTAATAATAGACCATAATATGAACACGAGCTATCAGTGCGATGCTGTAGCCAGCAGGGCAAACAATACTCTGGCATGCATTAACCGATGCACCTCATGCAAAATCAAGGGAATAATTCTTCTGCTTTACTCAGGACTGGGGAGACCGCAGCTGAAGTACTGTATACAGTTCTGGGTGCTGCGCTTCAACATGGACATGGGAATGCTTAACAGATTCCAGAGAAGAATCAACCGTATAATCAAAGATTTGCAAGGCAAGCCATGTGAGGAAAGGCTGAGGGACTTGGGCTTCTTCAGCCTAAAAAAGAGAAGGCTTGGAAGGGACTTGGTAGCAGCTTACCACTACATCAGGGGAATACATCAAGGGCTCGGTGAACAACTGCTCACCAGGGCATCCTTGGGGGAAAACAGGAGCAATGACCACAAACTCCTGGAAGACCATTTCAGGCTTAACTCTAGGAGAAAATTCTTCACAGTCAGGGTGTCCAGACTGTGGAATAAACTCCCTCCAGAGGTAGTGCAATCACCTACCCTGGAAATCTTCAAGATGGGACTGGACAGTCACCTCACTGGGGTCATATGACCCCCAGTTGTCTTTCCTGGCTAGTGCAGGGGAGCTGGACCCAATGATCTTGTGAGGTCCCTTCCAGTCCCTTACAATCTATGAGTCTATGACCCTGAACAGGGGAGAAGGATACTCTAAACAGGCACCTCCAGGTTTTTCAGTCCCAATGGAGCATTGGGTCACCCCAGTCAAAATCCTACAACCAATGTTTTTTTGAGAAAGGCAGACAGGAAAAAGAAAAACCTGACATCTGTAGCAACAGTAGGAGACAGAAGGGGAAAAGATTCTTTCTTGGCATCAAGTTGCAACCGGAAAAGCCTAGAAACATGTGAAAACCAAACCATCTCCACTGAAATACTGGAGGCTGCAAACACAACACTACACATCATGGGTCCTATCTGAAAACCCAAAACTCCCCTTTCTGTCATCCTATCTCCTTCATGAATTTATCCCAACTCCTTTAATCTTCTTTCATAACCATAAACTCTGCTTCATTCTCTTCTCCTGGGCAAGGTCCTCTCTAATTCTCACTTAGAGTGAACTCTGGGTTGCAGAGTTCTTTGTGTGGTCTCCATGTAATGCATGTATATGACTGTCCTGGGCTTCCCACTGTTTCTCTTCACAGGTAATTATCAACAGAGAGTCAGTAGGAAAAGAAAAGGAGGTGAAGGACTTTTCCTTACCAAATCAACATAGTTAGGAAGCAAAATTTTGTTAGGATTACAATACTGAGTTGTAGGTAGAAAATTGGAAGAAAATATAAAATCTGCCTGGACATGTCAGGGTGTCTTTACCCTGCATAAGCAGCAGCATATAGGAATGTATAAAGGTATTTAGAGAAAAGTTCACTGGTGGATTGTAAAAGCTGAGACTATTGCTAAAGCGAGGCCAAAGGTCAATAGAATCCTAATGTGCTTTAAAAGGGTGGTAGAATGGGATTAAATAATGTGAGGATCTAAAATGTAAAAGTCACAAAGGGTCAAATTGTCACCCCACTGGTGTCAATGGAAAAATTTCCACTGACTTCAAATGGGTAAATTTTAACCGAAGTGTATATCTGATGTGGAGGTAAAGAGGGAGGCACTAGAGGACAGAATTACAGAAAGAAATATACCAAGATGTTTCTAGTAGCAGAAATGTGAAGAAATTTGAGGAGTATAAGGTGACAGTGGTCAAAGGCACGGAGAGGAAATTTTAGAAAGCCAAAGGATAGTTTGGAACAGAGCTTTAGTTTAGTTTGGAGAGAAAAGACCACAACTGTGGAGGAAACAGTAGTAAGACTGAGGTACAGACCAAAAAAATGCATGTGTGGGTCTGAGAGGACAGAGTTAAATAACACCCAGTTTGCAGGTCTAATTGACTCTGAAGACAGAGGTGTCATTCACAGTGACAGGAAAAAGGGGCCAGTGTCAGGAAAATGATCCAGGACAGAAAAGTGTGGAGCTCAAAAAGCAACTGAGACAGAACTAAAAAAAATTGCAAATGGTGATTGAGGTTGCAGATGTAGGATTCAATGAGGGAGAATAAAAGGTAGGCAGATGGCATCATTAAATGGAAGAAAGCATGAACTAGTAAGGAAGAAAGTCAGGGTGGTCATGAGATTTTCTACAGGAACATTCAATAGCATGAGAAAAAGAGCTGAGAAAGCAAAATCAGTGAAGCCATACCAATTTATTTGAGTTGAGAATCTAGCTCTACATGTCTGTTTGAGCATTACTACATGCCCTGATCCTACAGTTCATGAGGAACTCCTCAGAGTTTGAAGTAGATGGTCCAGGACTGTCAACACTTAGAGATTTCATGCATACTTGGAGGTGTACAATATAGGGGTAAAAACATTGCCAAAATACATTCATATAAGGATCATTAAGAAACATGCCATTCTTCATTCATGGAAATACCTGTATGTGATGCATAAGTGCTGCCAGTGGGTGTGGGGCACAACTCTATTGCAGTGAAGGGTACAACTCTGTGCCACCACTGCAACTGCCACTGCTGCTGAGTACTGGCTTTAGCACCCCTTGGGGCTCCCCCCTGCCATTGGTGCAGAAATCTGAGGAGACACATGATCTGCCCGCCAACCCTCCTTCATTCTTGCCATTGGAAATAAGCTACATAAGGATACAATGGGAGTAATTTTGAAAATCCTACCCATTGCTCCTGGAAGAAGGAACACATGCTGATGCTCTTATTTTGTGTTATACAATATGAATGCATTGCAAGTGTTTTCTGTGTGTGAACTATGGAATTAGGTCACCTTTATATATTACTACCTGATGGTGCATACAGACAAAAGTCAGAAAAATCAGGTAATAGTACAAAGCTATTAAACAGCAAAAGGATGTAAGAGCCAATGAGTTAATTCCAAATGCCCTTTATCAGGCATTTAGAAAGTATTCATCACCATAACATCCAGCCATTAGCTGGATACTTTGAAGAATGCATACTTTTGGGGGATACAACTCAAATATTCCCTATGCCATCTAGTTGGAGAAGCATAAATAGCATAATTATTTTGCCTATCAGCATCCTTATTTATGGTCACTATAATTCCTAACAGAAAGCTGAATAAAACACTAGACTTGATCAATAATTAACAATAGCAAGAATAAAAGGCATCTTATTGTAAATTATAATTGAACTATAGAAATTACTTGAATTGTTCTATGTGTTGAATAATATTAAATGCCAGTTAGGAGAAATAAGACTGACAAACAGAGACCTACCTCCCACCTCTAACCCCACATTAACCAAAATAGTAATGCCTGGTTAAATTTGATAGAAAATAGATGATAAAAATACAAGAAAATTACATGCACACAATGCTATTTATAAATAAAAAATATACCGTAACAAAGAAATCTATAACAGCTATTGTTTTCCATTATTTGAAGAGATACTAACTTTGACTTCAGTAGGAAAGCCCTTGGAAGTTTTCACTTTTGGAATATATATTTGTACTTTAAATGTAATTAGTTGTCTATTTACTAGGGTTTTCATGTGGTAAACATTATTTCAGGTCAGTTCAGCAAGTACCAATCAAAGAAAAGATCCATCTTCAGACCAGCCTATATTTTGGCCTTTCCCAGTTATAAAAGAGAATTAACACGTGCAACATTTTACTGCTAGCAGCTGCAACATACCTGGGTTATGCAGATTAATGACATTTATTTCATGCATATTGTCTTGCATAACTTATTTTTAATGAGCTGGTGGATCAATTACTCTTCCATGTTAAAAACTGCCTACATGGACCCATGAAAAATCTAAAATTAGGCAGCTAACGTTAAAATTATACATCAACTATCTTAGGAATCTCATTAGATTGTATGCAGATAAACCAAGTCCTCTTGAATGATATCTGTGCCCCCTCATAGTGGAGTGAGTTGGCCTGTTTCTGAAGAATCTGAACTTTGATTTTCAATAATTTAATTTTTTGTCTTTGTAAATTAAAAGTGGAAGTTAAAAAGTTAAGTGACAGTGAATTGTTCTTATTTTGGCCTAGGTTTTCAAGTTTGTAATCCAAGAGAGAGTTTTACTTGAGAAAAGAAAGTAGTTCTGATGCTATCACCTAAAGCAAAACATCAATAGGAAAAATAAAAAGTACAAAACATGTACATAATTATTTATTTATTACTAACCTGGTATAGGCTGAGGTGTTAACACCACTGTGGGAAGAGGCCTTGAGGCAGTAGCTGGCCTAGATATAGCCATAGCTACTTGATTTGTCATCAAAAGAGGTTTCTCATGTCCCCGGAAGATTCTTGATTCCTCAGGATGTATCCATGCTGAATCCAGAGCAAATGCATTATTTAAATATATCTGCCCAGGATAAATGAGAAAAAGAGTTCAAGTTGAAGATAATATTATTGAATTTATTAGGACACAAGATCTTGAACACTAAGATGAGGGATACATAGTTTGAATAATGAGCTGGCATATGTGGTAAGATTGTAAATTTTGTGTGCTGGCTGTTATCTGATCCCTAAGATAACAGATTTAATACATATCCTAATATAAAATATGAGACATTAAATATCCCAAACTAAACGCTCGAGTCAATCGGGCTCCAGATACTATCAGAACAAAGTTACCCCACTACACTTGGTTATTTAATTTTTTTCAAAAAGGGTGTTGGAAACAAGGGAAAAGATCTAATTTATACTTACTTGCAGGCCCAAGTTTATAGAGGTGTCATTGTAGGACCAAGGTTAAAAATAATTAGTATGAAATATTGGCCCAACTGAAGCTGTGGGCAAACTTCCACTGAGTCCATTGAACAAAAGTATTTTACTCCAGGTAATAGAGAAGTGGCAAGAGTAAGCTCAATATGAAAACCAATCAAAGCCATGGTTTTGTGGTAAGAATAAACTATTTTATTTGATTTAATACAAGTAAATTTTAAGGATATTTTAGTCCTTTTCAGTCTTTCAGAGAATTGCTGATTTATGTCTACAAAAATAGCCTGCTTATTGATTATTCTTTATAGCAATCTTCTTTTTTCTTCAGGATATTTGCTTAACAGATTGCTGACCTTGCTCATCCCTTCATAACCTACTGAAACCATATTTTTTTCCTGGGTTTATAGTAACATCTTAATATTCAAATAAATCTCAAACTAAGGGCAAACTTACCTTGCAGTTTGGTAGCCTCTTATCTATCCAACTTTTCCCAGCATGAGGTGGAACAGTCGATGTGTATACATGTGGGAAAATAGGAACAAATTCCACACTAGAAGAAGGGGAAAATCCTATGACTGGAGAATGAGATCCAAACATCCACTTTAAAAAACAGAAAGTTAAAAATAAATCAATTAATAATATTCTACAATAAGTCAACTGTTATACACATATATTAAGAAATGTTTAAAAGGTAGATACTAAATTTCAAACAAATGCTATCTTTTTAATCCATCAAGCAATTTCTGTTTAGGCATTTTTATAATCAGTCCCCTGTGTATTGTGTGCCACTGGGGAACTAATCTGTTTTAGATATCTATAAATAGGAAATTCAGACTTTCAGAGTGCCTACTTAATACTATTACTAATTGGCAATGAATTATGATTTTTGTGCACTCCAAAATAAAATTCACATAGAAGGAGAAAAACAATCTACAAGAGTTATTTCCTCAAGACACAAAGAGAAACAGACCATGCCATTTTCTGACTCTTGGATTATTTGGACCTATGGATTTATATTGTAGCAAATGTGCTCACATTTCAAAGTAGTTGATGGCATTCTTTCTTTAAACACAAAACAACATGCCTTCCCTTCTTGCCCATTTTCCTTCCAAACCAGCAAATGCAAAGGGACACTCATAGCTAGAAATCTCAAATGAACTAAGAATGATCAAGCTCAAAGTTATTTTTTCAAGAAACAGTATTAAAATATAATAAAAAATGGTTAACACTAAGCTAAACTACTACAGAATTAGCACAACTTCTAGTACATAGGCTTTCTAGTCAACATTTACAGCTAGGTAAAGTGGCCTTGTAGTAGGGATAAGTAATGGAAACATTTAGAAAAGCACCCATGAGATACAATGCATGCACTCATATCATTTGAACCTTTTAATGTCGGTTCTAGTATTTTGGAATGAGACATACACTACAACTGCTTTCTGCACAGTTAGAACGTTCCTTGTACTCCTAACCTGCTTTTCCCACAAGTGTACAGTGATTTAGGTGACTTAAGGGATGAAAAGCAAAGCCTTAAAGAACACATTTCAAAGCAGGCCCCCCCCCCCCCCTTCTCTTATGGGAAAAAAAAATTCTTGCAGGTTCTAAACATTAAGGAAAAATCGAGTTTGCAGACATTAAATACCTCTAGTGGCAGCATCCTGACACAACATAAAAAATGTTGCAACTGCATCCAGATGTATTTTAAGAAATCATACTCTACATATTCAAGAAGCCTTGGGGAATATTGAAAACGATGACAAATAGAGGTGCTTGGTGGGTGATAAATGTGATGTTTGCTTCAATAGCCTGGCTTTAAAAGGGAAAGACAACTTTGTTTTAAAGCATGAAGAGAGATATTGGAGCCAGGCTTTGTGCTGAATGAACCGAACACCCTTACATCGTTATCTGGCCCTTAGGTACACTAAATGCTATTCCCAGTCTGCTCTTTCAGAGCAAATGCTTAATAATAATAATAGTAATAATAATAATAAGTGTTTGCTCTGGAAAAGAAATGCCTCTTTGTGGATCAAATACGCCTGGACCGAGCGGTGCACGCCTTCAGCAAAGCCCAGCGCTAGGCTCTTTGCAGGGGATTCATTCCAGACAGACACCGCTCCGCATCCTCTGCGCCTCACAGTCCCGCTCTGCCCAAGGGCAGCGCGCTGCTCCGCGAGGGCCAGGGCCAGGGCCGAGCCCCGCCGCGCGCGGGGACCTCCGCACATCCCAGCCTCATTTCAGG